AGGAGAAAATTCATGGGTTTATCATCAATTAACAATCTCCAGGGATTTGATACTCCTATTACCCAGGCTGCTGATATTGTTAGTCCATTGGCAAGCTCAGTAACAATCACAGATGCGAGCCACAGAACTGAAAAAAATAATTCAGAAAATGAAAGTAGCAGGTCCAAATCTTCTCTATCTCCAAAAGTTAATATTTTTGATGGATCTCACTTGTCTTCTGGCCTTAATATGAACCAGAGATTTCAAATCTTCTGCTTGCGATGTAGAAATCCCCTGGGTCTTCCTGAAAATGATCTTCAGGTTATGTGCTCCCTAATTTCATCATCGAAAGTCCATGTGATATCTCAATGGATTGAGACTTCAGAAACTCTAGCTTTGAGTACATCAAGTGTGTGTGTTGTGGTGTCAGATATATTGTCAGTTGATAAGAGACTACATGAAAGAACTGACAATTGTGCTCCTGGACAAGGGATTTGGTGCAAAGAAGATGGCTGTGTTTTCAACAGTATTTTTTGCCCCTTCTGCAATGACCCCAACAATTGTATTGGTGTTCAGGTTGTCGCCACTGATGCATCAAATTTTGAGTTTCAAAACAAGGTGCGAATATCTCTAGAAATGATGAAGGAATCTGAATCCTTTACATATAGCCCCTGTTTGAACCCAATTCTTTAAAATTTCATTTTTTCACAAACTAGTTTTCAATCTCAATTTCTCCCAATAAAATATTTTTACATGTAAACCAAAATTTTTTCCTGCTTTTTAACCACACATTCTCTAAAAAACCGCTATTTATTTTCCCAAATACTATGGCTCAAACAAAGCCATATTCCTCAAAAGCTTTAAGGAGTAATGTTTGGTTTCTTGCTAAAGCAGAAATGAAACTTCTTTTGGATCATTCTCACAATTTTTTGTCTTATATGACAGATATTGTTTTATCTTGATCGTTTGGAGATTAACAATTCTGACACGGGAAAAGACAAGGTAGCTCTTCTTATTCTTCTTCATTTTTTTATTATTTTTATTTATTTATTTATTTATTTTGGTAAGGCAACAAGAAGCAATAAATGTAAATTTGAAATAAGATTTTTTTTCTCCCTTGAATTACTTTAAATTAGGTTATTAAAAAAGATTGTCTTTTATGGTTTAATGATGGCAATTCCCATTGATGAAGCAGAGTAGAAGCTGATCAAATTAGTTGACTGTAAATAAGCATTGGACAAAGCTTTGTGTGAGTTGAGTTGTGCAGAAAATATTTTCTTCATCTGATGGGGAAACAAAAATATTCGCAAAGTAAATGAACCAATGAGTTCATTGAAGTGTTTTCAAGATCACCCTGGTGAATAAACAGTTCATCTGTCCTTTTACTTACCAAGGTTCTACCATAGTTGCTTGCTGCCATTGATTCTATACAACAGAGATGATAATTTTAACAATTTCTGGATATAATTCGGGATTTCTTATCGGCAATGTGATTATACAAATCCCTGTTCAAAAGAGTTCCAGTTTGGTTCAGCGAATTGGAAATCGTTTTAAAAGTGAACACTGTTAAGTTTTAGGCTTGGATTATGTGAAACCTTTACAATTGCTATTTTTCAAAGCCCAATAAGTGTCTTCTTTGTTGTTTGTACTAGTTCTTCCATTCTGATTGGAGAAAGATATTAACATTTGAATCAATTGTAGGCTTTATCTTCTTTTGGCGACTCGAGCACAAGTGCAAGTCCAAGTCCCATCGAGAGATATGCATATATTCCACCACCTCAAGATCCAGGAGGCTGGAGGAGCACAAAATCAAGGGTAAGGTTGTATAATTTTACTCAATTCTCCATTATTTTGCCAGCAGTTTCACATTATTCGTTTATCTTGCAGTTGCGGTTACCAAGGAAAGACCCGGTTTCTTCTGCCAAGGGTTGATGCCATAAGCGTTTGAAAAGGGATGTCCGGTATTTGCTGCATTAGAAATACAAATTTGCAGAGTTGAAATATTCTGGAGTTGATGGTGAGTTTCAGCATTTTTTTCCGAAGGGCAATTGGTGTTTAGCTTTCTGTAGTTTGCATGTTTTTATAAGTGCTAGCAGTTTATTTGTTCAGTTCTGCAATATGATATTTGCTGTTTTCATGTGTTAAGAGCCAAAGATTGCAGAAGAGACATTTCACTAGATGCAGAAAGTACACAACAGGAATCGAAGTTACTGTTAGTTGGAAATAACGGGCGAAGACGCTTAGTTGGGCAAATCTATGACTTCAACCGTTGGATCACTGTTTATATAGCAACTTCATGGTTGACAAATTGTCTTTCTGATTTTCTTGTGTGAATCTGGCAGCTAGGTTGTCCTTTTGATAATTTATTCACCATGTGAATATTTTCTGAATTTCTTTTTTTATCAGTAAACAGGATCAATCTCTCCTTGTAAAATTCCCTATACCCTGTTGAAGTGACATCCTATGACATTCTCATAGCTGGTTTTCTTTCCAATTTCTTCTTTTAGGATTGTTTGATTGTGAAAATGGAATTTAGGTGGAAAGAAAATAAATTTCAGGGAATTGAATTACGTAGAAATTGTTTTTCTGGAAATTGTAAATTATTGTGTTTGATTGGTATAATTTTCCGCATGGAAAATATTGAAGTAAAAGTGTTTTTTTATGTTCGTTTGGTTTTGTTTTACATGAAAATTGTCAATTTAAATGATATTTACTTCTACCATTGTTTCTAGAATTTGTTTCTATTGTCAACAAAAAAAGAAAAAAGGTAAAAAATAGGATAAAAAAATCATCTATATTTTGGTATTCGTTTGATTATGTTTTACATGAAAATTATTAATTTCAGGGATATCCTCTTTTATAATTGTTCTTAGAATTTGTTTTTATTTCCAACAATTAAAATAAACAACAGATGGAAAATCAAAAATCATCTACCTCCTAGGAAAATAAAAAGTAAAAAATCACGTTTTAAGGTGTAATTAGAAATTCATGGAAAATTAATTTCCTAGAAAATTTTGTCAATCAAATAGGTCAAAAGTGGAAGTTGAAATTTGAATTTCAAATTTAATGGAAAATTTCGTACAATCAAACGAGGCTTTAGTGTAATTTGGATGAGATATTGATAAAGCCGAGAATGGGTGGTTGCTTGGTCCGGCTAGCCAATGCACAAAGGGTTTTGTGCATTGTTCGTTTGGGCTTAATAATAATAATAATTTTGTGGAACCAATGAAAATACAAAACACTAAACGAATTGGAAAGAAAAGTAATAATTAAATGTGGTTTGGCAAACCACATACAACCATGGAAGAATACTAAAAATAAATTTTTTAGTGGATTTTGATAAAAGAATGATAAAATGTTGGGTAAAAAAGATGATAAAAATTGTAGATTCCGTAAAATATGTGATAAAAAATGAATTTTATAAAATGAGAGCCAAACACGTACTTATTGCCTTATCTTCATCCTTAATCTTAACATCAATTATAAGTAACTCCATCACACACTTTTAAATTTATATAGATGGTCCATTATGTAAGAATTCTCATCAATCTTCAACTTACATAATTACTTCTTCAATTATAACCTATTTTTCAGAAGTTTACATACAAATCTTTTAACTTTTTCTTAACTTAGAAGGACATATCTCATTTAAAATACTCTACATTACCTCACGAGCAAGAGACAATCTAATGGTATTGATTGCCATCGCTTCTAACTCTTGCAGCTTTCATCCTTTTTGGACTCTTACCTTGTAAAATCTCATAAAGTCCATGTTGTACGAGAATATTTTCAATAGTACTTGCCAAATGTTAAAATTATTCTTCCCTTCAAAATGCTCCAACTCATATTTGAATCTTGTCATCATTGTTGCAACAATCCCAAATTTTGAACATCAAGCTTTGATACCACTAATGGAAAAAAAATAATTCACAAAAGTACAAAACACAAAATGAATAAAAAAGACACGAAATAATTAAACGTTGTTCGACAAACCACGTACAACCAAGGAAGAAGAGACTTTGCTCACGTTTGGTTTAGCTAAAAATCATATTTTATTAGATTTTGATAGAAGTATGATAAAATGTATGGCGGAAAAAATGATAAAAATAGTGGATCTAGTAAAATATGCGATTGAAAATGAATTTTAAAAATAAATTTTAAAAAAGAGCCAACCATGAGCCATAATATTTAAAAAAAATAAAAAATACTCAATAAATTTTTTCATTTACCTCACCACTTTTACCCACTCAAAATTATAATATTAATCAAAATCACATATGTCCAGTTTTTCTAGTTCTCTCTCCCGCTTCTCTCTGCCTCCTATCTTCAAAATCGATCAAATAGGCTTAGTGACCAATTTTCAAGCAAATAGACACTTGTGAATTCTCACTAAAAGATACAAAATGTTGTCAATCAGAAATTGAAACTAGGAGCTTGTTCATTTGGCTTAATCACACTAAAATACATGCAAAACTTTTCTACCAAAATCTTCCTTCTTTTGCCGTATTGTCACGTGTCTCACTATGTGTATATAATCAAATTCTAATCTTGATTACTTAATTGCACAATAACCAACTCATTTTCCTAATTAATCAATATTGCTCGTTAAACAACAATTATAAGGAGATTTTTTGAGAGTGTGTTTGAGCCCATTTTTTGTGAAAATAAATTTTATAATTGCGATTTTTTTAAAGAATGTATGTAAAAATAAAAAAAATAAGTTTATGTGTATAACTATTTTATTGGAAGAATGTGATTAAAAATGAGTTTGGCAAAAAAAATTATTTTAGAGAATTAGACAAACTGCGCCAAATTTGATATGAAGGAAATTGCAATTTTAGTCCCCAACAATTACAACTCAAAAATTTACATTAACCGCCTTAAACTTGAACCCAGTAGTTTTAATTTTCAAATATCAATTTCATTGCCCGCCTCTTTCCCAACGGCTCTATTCCCCGCTCCTCCTCTTATAAAAGGAAGCCCTCGTCTCGAACACAGAACAACTAATTTCAATTCCCGCCTTTGAACCCAACGTCTCTTCAAAACTCTCCGTTTCAGTTTCAATTTTCTCTTCTCGTAATATCACATGGCGGATGCTGATGTGTTGAGGGCCAAGAAAAAAGCATTCTCGAGGAGAAAAGAATGCATAAAGAGGAAGACTATGGAATTGTCAACTTTGTGTGATGTGAAAGCCTGCGCAGTGATTTTAGGCCCCGACGGGCAGATTGATTCTTGGCCGGAGAATCGGAGTGAAGTGCAGGAGGTGATCAATTTGTACCAAAACGGGTCTCGTAATAAAAAGCGGAAGCAACAATATGATGATAGGGGTTGTAACAAGAAGCAGGTTTTGGGTGGTGATGAAGGGGCTTTGAATCCGGAAGAATATCTGAAAAAGATTGATGCCAAATTGGGGGAAGTCAAGAAACGGATTCAGTTTCTCAGGTCCAAAGATCAAGAAATCGAACCAGGTATTTTCACCAGCCCCTTTTTAGTTTTTAGTCATGTTTCTCTGTTCTTTCTGGAATTCATATACTTGTTCTATATTCATTCATGGATAGACGTTGCTTTTTGCTTGAATTGATTTTTATTTTAGATGGTTTGTTGCCCAGATTGTGACGTTCAGTACTAGTACTCTTACAAGTAAATAGGCAATCTTAATTTCCCAGCATAAACTTACAATTTTTAGTAATATTGATATAAACCTATATTCCAGAAAACACAAAGAATCGGAGGTTTAAATCTTATTAGATCAGTTTTATGTAATAATTATTAGACTTGATCACTTCTCTCATGTTGTCACAAAATCTAGGCTTCTTCGATCTGGTCTTGTAATAAAGGCACTTCATGCCTTTATTACATTGTTACTTTTCTTCTCCTGCATTGTTACTTTCATATTTCCTTTCAGTCTTTTCTTCTTCTGCTCTTCCCCAAATCACCGGCATAGAACCCGACGACTAATACAAGTGCACCAGCAATACTGCCTGAAGTTTCAAAAACAATAGTCAAACTCAGAATAAGAAACTTGAAAAAAATAACCAGAAAGATATTGCTGATGTGAATTTAAGTTGCAGTTTATACCTTCCAAAATAAAGAACTTCTCCCTGAAAGATAACACCAATGACAACAACAATAACAATTGTCAATGGATTAAACAGAGAAACAAATGTTGCTGTTGTCATTGTTATTTCTCGCAAAATAACAATCGTGAGTGTTCGTAGGCCTCAAGCCTCAAGGTTTTTCATCTCTAAGTAAATAGATGTGAGTGTTCGTAAGAAATTTCAATGGCAATGGTTGTTGAATACGAAGAATAGCTAATGACTATTGATTTTGTGAATCTTTTTGAGTATTGTCATCATCTTTAATTGACTTGGGATATTAAACCTTAACAGTTATGTATATATCCTGAATGAATCTTGTAAATCAAGTGACTCAGGTTCCAGAAAATTAACAAATGACACACTTTATATAGCAAAAAAAAAAAAGAAAAAAGAAAAAAAGCTTTAACAACTAAAATGTAATTGTTTCTACATTTTTTTCTCTTCCTTGATTCACAACAGGGGATTTATGGGGGAGAATGTGCAAAGGGAAGGGAGATAAAAAACGAATTAAGTGTGGAAGTTCAAAATCTTACAAATGTTATACTCTTATGTGACTACTATTTTTCTCTGTCAAAATCTGGACACAATCTGTGACTGATTGCAGCAATTGTAAGTGGTATTCCACAAAATTTTTTGAAACATTAGCCAAGCGAAGTTATGTCTGAAAGTGTGACCATCCTGTCCTATGTTGTCCATGTATATTCCACTCTTATGTCCATCAAGAAATATTTTTACCAAGAGACTTATAACTTCTGATTTTCCAGGCTGGCCTCAAAAAGATTCACAAAATTTGGGCTCACATTCTAATGTTGGAATGCTGGATTTTGGAAATCAGTTGCCTGTGGATATCGGTGGCTTTACTAGCAATTTTCATTCTACAAATTTCGGACCAGGAACCAGCTTTCAGTCATCACAGGCAGCCTTCTCTCAGCTTCCACAGCAGCTGCACATGGAGCAGCCATGGAACTGTATTGATTCTCCATTCTGGTTTGAACCTGAAAGTGCACTCTTGACCGGAGGCGAGCAATTTCTACAAAGCTATATTGATAACAATGATGAATCTTCTTGGATGCAGTCACCCCTATTTCAAGAGACATATTGTTTTAGTCCAACCGTGGACACCTTTCTGCTGTGAATTACATGAATTACAACGTTGCAAATTGTGACCAGCCTCCGAGATCGAATCGAGCAATATTTTAATCTGGATTAGGACCCATTTTCTTTTCCCTTTTGATTCATGTATACATACTTGTAACTCGTAATATAGAACAATAATCACTGGAGGGAAGAGAAAGGAATGATGTACAGTACATTCTACTATGTTACTGATGCTATGAACAACACTTACTGCTGGAACCATCTTTTTATCGCTCAGTTTTAAAGTTTCAATTCACCATTACCAGATAATGAGAAGTTGAGTTTCAAATCAGTAGGCGATAACTTCTCAGAATTTTTTGACGATCAATTTCATTCTCTCCGATGTTTCCACACTGATTATATCGAGGATGTCAATGTCGTATATTGCCTTACGCAAAAAACCTATGAAAAGAGTAAAAAATCTTGATCTTGGCCTAACTTTCCAACTGATGGAGAGTTTTGGATGGATGGTGCAATAGAAAATAGCTAATTCAAGGGCTTGCTGTTGCAGATTATGTGTTCTGTTCATGATAATCATGCCAGTCTAGTTTAGGACAAGAAATCTTGGCTTAACTACAAAGATATTTGAGAGAACAAATCTCATTCTCTTGTTCCATATAAGAATGCTACATTTTAACCATTCAAAGCAAAGAAAGAGCAAAAAAATGAGCATTACACTCTGAACATATAAGAATACCCTGCTCTACATCAGTCCATTAACGGCTAGAACTTATGAAACTTTGATTCTAAATAGAGAGAGACATATTTCATCCATATCAAAGCCTAAACATCCTGGTGCTTAATCTCCCTAAGTCAATTTTGATCACCTTATGCATTATACCAGTTGAAGTTAACTTGAACAATTTACAATTGGTTAAATAAATTCTGGTCAACATTTGCAGCTACTAATTGACAACAGAACAGTGAAGAGGGCTAACATAAAACAGCAAAAATAATATTGATGATTCCGATTATATATTTTAACAAAAAATATGCACGACCCAAAAAAACCATAATTTACATTAGCAGCAAACCAACATGTATCACTATAGCAGATATTTTTGTGTAGCAAAAAACAGACACAAAAAATCATCCACCATAATTATGCGCATCATTTGCAGCTACTAATTACATTAATAAAAAAAGTGTACTAGAATTCTGTCTTAAAAAAAATAAAAAATATAAAATAAAAATTGAAGCAGACACCTCAAATTCACCAGAATTCAGGTCACCAGTAAAAAAGGGTCCTTTCTTCTCTTTCTTGTCTTTTCCTTTTGTTTACCCCTCCATTTAGGAGCTTCTATTAGAGGACAATTGGCTATAAAGGAGTTGTTCATCGGATTGAATATGTTTTCATATCAAGCTATATAAGTCTCCACTAAATAGTACCCAGCCAAAAAATATAATAAATAAATTTTGTTGTATGCAAGTGATATTTGGAATAACATTCCTAAAATATTAGGACGGATGGATGTCAATTTTACAAGTTTAATGACCAAAACTCCACCATCTTAAAATATAATGAGCAATCAAAGACATCTTTTAAAACACGTTGAGCAATCAAAGATGTCTTTTAAAACATATTGAGAAATCAAATACACATTTCTTACATAGCAATTTGCATAATGTAGTTTTGGCTCCACATTCAATCTCAATTTCATAAGAATTGTGAAATGGATATCACGTCGTGAGTAACGTCCAATACATTCATAAGTATAGTGAACAAAACTCGACATTCAAAACTTTAATAAGTAGTCAAAGGCACAAACATAATATAGTGATTAGCGAGACAACTAAGTCCCTGTTTTGATGGCCATGTTGTATAAAAATGATGTCTTGAATAGTGCTTTTTTTTTATAATGTGGGGTTAAAAAACATAGAAAATTTTAAGTATACGTGCAAAATATTTTATCGTATGAATGTACAGTTGAAAATGAGTATAGAAATAAATAGTTTTCCTACATTTATAAAAATGCGAAAGAATTACTCGAAACGTGTCGCAAATATGTATCGTCATCCATTTTTTTCCCTCTCATTTCATCATTAGCGGAAAAGGATGTTGGGGCATTAGAAGAAAGCGTGAGACAGTCTTCATTTTCGTCCTCAATTTACCATTCCTCCACTACTCTTCTTCTTCATCCTTTTTCCCTTCTTTCCAGAAAACCAACAACTTAAATCTCATCTGAATTTGAATTGCAAAAGAAGGCCTAAATTGCATTGGATGGGGTTGATCAGTTAGTCTTATGTAAGTTGATTACTTTCTTTTTATTTTTTGTCTAAATCAAATGAGAATAGAATCAATCAAATTTGAAAAATTTAATTCAGTTGGATTTGAATACGGGGTGGGTATGCGAGACGTGCACTGCGAAAAGCAATCTTTGCGCTACACGGAGATATGTGGTCTCCACGATGCTTCCTTATTTAGATAAAATTCTAGTTTTGGTAGGATTCTCGTAATCTTTGACTATAACTTTTTGGTTTTCTTATAGATTTTAGGGTTTTTAGACTATAAATATAGACAACTTCTTCATTATAAAAAAGACACATTATTCATCACTTGAAAGAATTTTCTTTGAGAGGCTTTATTGCTTTCTATTCCAATTGTTCTTTTTAGAACACTTTGAACTTATCAAGAATTGGATTCTTGTGGCGTTCATCAATCAAGGTGCGAGTCTTTGAGTGTGTAATCAAGGGGTCCTTCTATCACCGTTATTGTTGGGTTGCTTGGTTCGCTTTTCTTGGGTTCAAACTCACAAACCTATCAATTTGGCTTTTATGGGGTTCTAACAATCTAGTTGTGGGTTCCGTAGTGTTCGTGTTGCGTGGGTTCACATCAAAAAGATTTAGCCTAGCATACTAATGTAAGAAATACAAGAAAAATAAAAAAAGGTAATCACCCGAATCATTAAATTATGAAGAAAATTTGTAAACCTTTAATTAATGCCTTCAAATCTGGATTCAAGCGATGAATTCTTTGTTTTTCGAAGTATATTCTCCTCGTTTTCTCTCAAAAGTCGGCTCTCAATGATAAAAAAAATTAGGCCAGGACGTGTTTTCCTATTTATATGATACCAAGGAGATTGTTTACCAATATAAAATAAGAAAACCTAAATTTATTCGCATTTATCATTGAGGGGTAATCCTCATGCATACCCATTTTGTCCCTGAGGCAGGCGAGGGTGCGCGCCTTGGGTTGCTTTTTGGAGCCAAGTTTGCAACTTGCTCCTTGAACTTTTTCCAAGGTCTTCACTTCTTTTTTGTACCATTCACTTATTCTTTTATCTAATAGAGTTCTTACACATCGAATCTTCGTTTTGCATCGTACCCAACTTTAGAATTGTTGCATTTTAGTCCCTGGACTTTGTATTTGATGCAATTTAGCTCTTTTTCTCGCTTATTCTCTTCACTCCCGCATCTTTCATTGATTGTTACCTATAAACAATATATACATTTGATTAAGCCATGTTTCATCCAATTTGTCAACAAATGCTCAATTTTAAGGGCCTAAATAAGTGTAAAAATACACTTATCACTTCCGCTTTTCATTCTTTTGGTGATTTGATGTGAAGAATCTTGGCACTGAATTTTTTTTTTCTATCTCAAGATTCTTGAGCTTTTTAATTTATAACAGAGGCAGCTGGTGAGTTAATATCCCAAGTTCGACTGGAGATTAGTTAGTAGCAGAAGAGGCAGCCTCAATCGAGGAGCAAGCAACAAGTTATCTTGCTGATTTTGTGTGATTGTGTACAAGTTTTGCAAGTTTTTAGACTGACTTTGGTGTGAAATCTCAATGCCATCACAAGCTGAACTAGTTAAGAGTTGAACCCAGCAATAAGTTGTTTCAGAGCCAAGGTTGGTGAGGAGCGATAATTTTTGAGACTATGACGAGCCAAAATCTGAAAGATATGGTGCTTCTATGCAGGGCCGGACCTGATGAGAGGCCCAAGAGGCCTCCGCCTCAGGCCCAGATTTTTAGGGGGCCCAAAATTTTTCCCTTTCATTTTTCTTCTTCTTCATTTTAATAGAGATGGATGGCAGTCGGGAGACGGAGACCATTAGACCAGACCTGGAGACCACCGTCCACCACTTACCCTACGTGATGCATCCCTGCAAAATCCAAAAATCAAAGCCCTTCTAAGTTTTAAAAGAGGAAAGCGCAAAGGCTGGGCTGCAATCGGCCGGCGCCCGACGGCTACAGGCATGAGGAGGCACGGCTGATGGCTCTCTTCTCGCCAATGATTTCAGAAAATCAACAACCCTTAACCAGTTAAGTTTAACCCTTTCTCATTCTGCAGTGCCGGCACTGGTTACTTGTAATTATTTAATTTATTTCACATTGCGATTTGGGCATTTGGCGGATTTACGACTTCGCCTGTGCGGTTGTGCCTGCGCTTGTGCTTGCTGAAACAATTCTTTTTTATTTTCTCATCTTCATCAATTCATACGAGTAATGCTATTATGCTATGCATTAAGAGAAAATGAAGCTTATAAGTAAATTATAAGCTTAGCCAAACATGCTCAGATGCTCTTTTGTTTCAACTGAACCTTTAGGCTTTACTGCTTTAGTTTCTGCTTTGAGCTTTCGCGTTCCTAACTTCCTTTCCTCGTAGGCTGCTCACTGCTGGCTGTGAATTGTGATAGACATCATAGACTGATAGTGATAGTGTGATGAATGATGATAAGTATGTTGAGTTGGGTCGGGTATGGTCGTATGGAGAACTGGAAAAGCCCTGACTCGTATCTTGGTGGGGCAAATTCAGGTCTTTTGTTTCAACTGAACGGCTAAACCTTTAGGCTTTAGTTTCTGCTTTCATGTTTCTTTCCTCGTAGGCTGCTGGCTGTGAATTGTGATAGACTATTAGACTGATAGTGTGATGATAAGTTTGTTGAGTTGGGTCAGGTATGGAGAACTGGAGAATGGAGAAGCCCTGACTCGTATCTTGGTGGGGCAAATTCAGATGGCATGATTTGCAATTGGATTTTCCATATTTGGGAAGGGTAGAAATGTAGAATTTCTTGCCTCATTCCATATTTCCATTTTCAAAGGGGTCTGTTTTCCCCACATCCACTCATTCAAATTGTCATAAATTTGAATTTTTAGTTGAACTCTAGTTTAATAATCACATTAGACAATATTAATGTACTAATATTTTTGGACCACTTTGGGATCCTTGCAGGTTATTGATAGTTGTTGAGTGACTTGAATCAAATACCATGGCTCCTCAATATGCATCTGGAGCTCAAAAAAAGAAAAAGAGAGAAAGAGTAGAGGCATTAATTCGAAGCCAGACTGGAGATATGGAGAAGTACTTTAATAACAAGAAACAAAAAGAGAAGGAAGGAACACCAGAAAATTTATTGATTGAGGAACAACAGAATCAGAATGATAATGACAATGTGGATGAACGGAAAGAGAACTAGGAAATGATTGAACCTGCCAATGTGGATGAATCAAAGTAAAATAAGGCAGATAATATTCAACATGAAGATTTAAATCAAGAGACTTGTTTTTCTTTGAATTTTGAAGATCCCGGAAATTGGAAGGACATCCACATTGATCAAAAGATGAGGGACTTTTTAGTTGAAATAGGTCTAAAAAGAGTTGATGGCATCTTGTTTCCCAAAGATAGTCAAGGTAGACATTTTGAATCGTCACACTATAAGCGGCTACTTGCAAATGGGCAGATAACTGATAGAAGATGGTTAGTGTATTCCATTTCTTTAGACAAGATATTTTATTTTTGCTGCAAGTTGTTTAAAACAAAAAGAATGATGAAAAGTATTGGCCAATTGGGTAACGAGGGATATAAAGATTGGCATAATATGCATCGTCGCCTTACAAATCATGAAGTGTCTAAGGAGCATATAAGCTGCATGACTAGTTGGATGGAACGAGAAAATAGGCTTCAAACAAAGGATACAATTGATAAAAGCATACAATTGGCCATCAACAAAGAAAGAGAGCATTGGAGACAAGTACTAACGAGGATAATTGCTATTGTTAAACGACTTGCTAAAAATACTTTGGCATTTCGCGGAGATTGTGAGCAACTTTACGTAGAGAACAATGGACTTTTTTTGCAAATGATAGAAATGGTTGCTGAATTTGATCCAATAATAAGAGAACACATTCGACGTGTGTTCGCGAAATATTTCTTTCGATTTAAATTACCGCAAGTGTACGGTTCGTTAATAAGTAATAAAGTGGATCAATTGAGTCCGAATATCGTCCCACAGAGATTGGTTAATTCAATTTTACTTATTTTAGCCTTAACCGAAACTAATTGAGTTGAAATGAATTTTGGAATCAAAAACCCTAATTTTGGGAGAAATCCCCAAATTGAAAAACCCTAATTTCAAATCAAACCCTAATTACTTAAATTCACTGAACTAATGACTCAATTACGAAATGTTATGAAAAATTGCTGAAATGTATTGTCAATTTATGAAAATCTATGTAAAACAAATGCACTAGGATCACGAATCCCCAAATAATTACCAATTACACCTTAATTTCACAATTTTGATAATTCAATAAGAATTTGATAAATCAATGCTCCTAAATCTATTCAATACTCTCTCTCGAGATGTATTGAACCTATTCTCATAAATCATCAGCCTATATCTCTATGACGGATGCAATTTTACAAGAACGCATATAATTTTTTTGTGAGCAATTAAAGATATACATAGGGCATAGAGTATATTTCTATCCCCTATCGGACCCTATGATGAATTATATATGTCGAGTCTAATCTAATTTTCTCAAATTCAGAATTAAACCACCAAGTTCACACAACTCAAGTGCACATTAATTGTGGAAATAAGTAAATCAATATAATCCATTCAAATATCCATCAAACTAATAATTCAAATCATGAAATAGAAAGTTTAATAAAAATTACATGGTTCATTGATCACCTAATTGCAAAAATCTAGCCTATCATGATAAAAATAATGAAAACTAACAAAATATGAATAAAATACATCACCGGGTTATCAAAGGTTGAAGAAATCTCGTAAATCTCGCATCAATTGCTTGTTCTTGCCTTCAATTCCACCCTAAGATGAATGCTTTTGCCTCCCAAGTCGTTCGTTCCGGCTTCTGGACGTCTTGTTGCTATTTAAACCCGTCCAAATTAGGTTACCAAAGGAGTTGCAATCGTATAAGGAAAGTGCAAAATTCGAGAAAATTTATACCTATGCGATCGCATAGGTTTAAGAAAAATGCCCTTTTTAATCCTTGGAGGTTCACTCGCGGTCGCATAGGTTTTATACTATGCGACCGCATAGTAGAGTTACTTTCTTGTTTGAGTCATTTTGGTCCTCAAGTTTCATTCCTTCACTCCTTGACCTCCTCTCTTTTTCCTAGTTGCTCCAATGATCCCTTATAACTTCCAATTGGTGCTTGGCTTGATCAATTGCTTGATCTGTTCATCGGATCAACTTTCATATAATTGCAATTTGGTCCCTGAATTTTCTCTTTGCTTCAATTTGGTCCTTTTTCGGCTCTTTTCTCCTGAATTCCACTATTTCCATAGAATTTCCTACATTGCATGAATTTGACAAAGTTAAGTAACAATTAAATCAATTTACCTGTATTTAAGTCATGTTTGTGATGTAAATAAGTGTGCAAAAACACACTTATCAACGTGCTCAAGCACATGAGATTCAGTATACATATCTTGGTCCTAAAATTCAAAATGAATTGATACAAACTTTGGCAGGCGAGGTGAGAAGTGCAATTGTCACAAAAGTAAAACATGCAAAATATTTTTCTATCATACTTGATTGTACTCCAGATGCGAGTCATGAGGAGCAAATGTCTCTAGTAATACGATGTGTGGATGAATCAATGGACTCTTCGATGGTACAAGAATATTGTATTGAATTTTTGAAAGTGGACGATACATCGGGACTGGGATTTTTCACTGAACTTACAAATGTGTTAACGAATCTTGAGTTTGATGTTGACAATATAAGAGGTCAAGGGTATGATAATGGAGCTAACATGAGCGGGAGACATAAAGGTGTACAAAAAAGGTTACTTGAAATAAATCCTAGAGCTTTCTATACTCCATGTGGTTGTCATAGCCTGAATCTAGCATTATGTGACATGGCAAATTGTTGTTCTAAAGCTATGTCCTTCTTTGGAGTGATACAACGCATCTATACAGTGTTCTCTTCTTCTCCCAAACGATGGAAAATTTTTAAAGATAAGGTTGAAGGTCTAACACTTAAGCCATTGTCTCAAACACGTTGGGAAAGTCAAGTGGAAAGTATCAAACCTATAAAAGAGCAATCTGTACAAATAAGAGACGCTTTACTTGACTTGGCAAACATTGCTGAAGATCCTAAAACAAAGAGTGAAGCTGAGTCATTAGCAACATATGAACTTGAAAATTTTGAGTTCTTACTTGGTATGGTCATTTGGTATAAGTTGTTGCATGCTTTCAATACTATGAGTAAATTTTTTCAAGCAGAAAATATGGATATTGATGAGGCCATCAAGCTTTTAGAAGCACTTATTTTGTTTCTCGAAAATTATAGAGAATTTGGATTTGCCAGTGCCATGGATGAAGCTAAACAAATAGCAGTTGAAATGGGAATTGAAGCTGTTTTTCGAGAGAAACATAATATTCGAAGAAAGATGCAGTTTGATGAAAGTGGCAGTGAATAGGTAACACTATCAGCTGAAGAATCTTTTTGAGTTGATTATTTTCTCTTTATAATTGACCAAGCTCGATCTTCACTTCAAACTCAGTTTGAACAATTTAAACATTATGAAGAGACATTTGGATTTTTGTTTAATTCGGAGAGATTAAAGAGTATGGATGTTAACAGTTTGTTGAAATCTTGTAAGAATCTTGAGCAGTATTTGAGCCATAATGGACATTCAGACATTATTGGTGATGACTTATGTACGGAGTTGTTAGTTTTGAAGTGCTATTTACCTGGAGAAACAAAAAGAGCAATTGATGTGCTAAATTACTTGAAGAAAATGAATGGTTGTTTTCCGAATGCTTGCATTGCTTACAAGATTTTGTTCACTATACCGGTTACAGTTGCATCAGTAGAAAGAAGTTTCTCCAAATTGAAATTGATCAAGACTTATCTTCGATCAATCATATCACAGCAAAGATTGAATGGATTAGCTATGTTGTCCATTGAAAAAGAAATGGTTGAACAACTTGACTATACAAAATTGATTGATATTTTTGCCTCAAAAACCGCAAGACGAGTTGTATTTAAGTGATGGTTTAGAACATTTTCTTATGCATCTTTGTACTGCTATTTGATTATAATATAAATATTTTGAATTTCATTTTTATTTGTTGCTTTATTATGGATTTTATGTTAAAAATTTAGTTCCTTAAACTCTTATAAATAATATGAAAAAAAGAAATCATTGTTTGCTATGAAGTAGGGGCCCAAATTCTGAATCTCGCCTCAGGCCCTGTGAAACACAGGTACGACACTGCTTCTATGATTGATGATGCTGTCGACTGCTTATGTGTATGATCAATAAGGGTTTCATGTGGAATTGTGATAGTATTACGAGGCTTTTGTTGTTGAAACAAACGAGAAACTTATGTACATGATCGGGGATGTGATAATCTTCATAGGAAACGCGACTCATGTAGGGATGCTGGAGGCTGATGTTTCATTAACAAAAAGAACAACCTTCATTCTTGCTACAAGAGGTGCAGTTGAAGCTTTCTAATCAAAATGCCCGAAACTAATTCATTAGCGGTACAAAAAATGCAAAAGATTTGGAACTTTCTTTGGGACTTGGGGTAGCAATACAACAAAAATGTGATTTTGCAACAAGATATTTTGTGATATACAACAAATTGTAGCAATAAATGATTTTGTGTGACATTTTTTTAAGTTGGTCGCAAAGATTGATAAGACAAAATGAGTACCAAAAAAATATAAGGCAACATTAAATGTTATCGTCAACTATGAGAAGGCGCGATAAATAATAAAGATTGTCATCGAACACACGAGAGAAGCAAGGTGCCAAAATATTTTTGGTAGAAAACTTATGATGACAGACTCTTATTTCTTTGCAACAAAGGGTTTGTGTTGCAATATGGTTTACTTTTTGAAACTAGAAATATTTGTTGCTAAAAATTCTATAGACGAAAGAAAAAATCGCTAGTAGAAAAACTATTTTTTTGCAACAAACAAAAAACGATGCAGTAGGTCATTTACAATGCTTACCATATGTTGTAGTCCTAATGTTGTTGTAAAGACGAAGGATACGATAATGTGTAATGTATGTTGCAAAAGCCTCAAATGTACATTGTTGTTAAGACTTCGTCCGTTGTTTTAATTATATTTTGTAATGCTCTTTGCTTGCTGTTATAACCTTTTTCGTAACGTCCCTTTTTTTTTTCCAACCAGTGTTTATTTTTTTCATTTAGCTAAAGATGACATTTTAATATGTAATATGATTTTTTTTTTTGAATTTTAGTTATTCTGAAATATTTTTTAGATAAAATCTTTATAAAATTTCTAGATTTTTTTTTTTTTTTTTTTATCTCCAATGAAAATTCAAAAATAATTGTTAGATGATTAAACTTTCAATCACAAAATAACATAAAAAACAGTTTCTATGCCAAACCAATCCAAACATGAAAATAGCTATCTCAATACTTAAAGTAAATAAATAAATAAATCATAATTTATAGATCATCATTTATGCCACTCTACCTTTCTAAAAATCAATCACTGTTTTCTTCAATGATAGTGATGAAAGTCAAGCATTCAACACAAATAATTTGAGACAAAGAGTTTCAAAAGTGAAACGTCGAATGAAGATATTAGACTAGACGTCTGTGTTCACTTGCAAAAAGTATAAACACTTCAATTCTTAGTACTAGATGAAAGCTCGAAAATCAATTTTTTGTTTTAAAAATTATTTTGATCATCACTCTCAAAAATTATCTTTTGCCAAAAGCAAAATTGATTTTCAAAATTATAATTGAATTTAGATCATATTTTGAAAAACACCATTTGATTATTCACATTGGACCAAGCAAAGACAAAATGGACCAATCTTATGAAATACAAACGTCAAAAGGTTAAAAGTTTTTGAATATTTAAATAAATAATAAATTTATATTTTAACGAGGACCTACTATAATTCAAAAGATAGAATTGCTAAAAGAATATCTCTATAACTCGAAAGACAAGGATAATAATATTTAGAAGAATTATCCCGTTCGTGAAAAAAATATTTTCATGTAAATAGTAATCTTTAAAATTATTAATTGGAAAAACTCGAATAAAGTGCAATTTAGAAATCATGAGAAAGCTCATATTTTGAAGTCACGAGAATATAAGGATGACTCGTAAGGACAAAAAATGATTTTTAATTATAAAAATTGCAAAATTTAGAAGCTAGATTGCAAAATAGTGAGAAATATATAATTTTAGAAGATAATGTGACAAGTTAGGATTTGACAGTCACATTAATCTGAAATTTTTTAATTCCAAATCTATTAGTAGTGGCAGGCACAACATTCATCTTTACAGTCATGCATTGTATTTGATTTGATTCATATTTATTACAAGAAAACAGAAAAGAACAAGTGATTATGAGATTACTGATAAGCCACTGATTCAAATTCAGTATTCCCAGTGGGAGAAGAAGTCAAGGGCAGAAAAGGTAGACTAGAAAAAAGAAAGTTCCATCAAACTACAAGTCTCGATCTATACGAAAGGCACTGTTTTTTTTGTCATTCTTTCAGTTTCATTGATAGCAGAAAAATGGACTCTTTCTATTGGTCAGATGTTGATCGATTCCTCTCATTCGATCTGAAGAAAGTCCTCGTGCTGCTGACTAGGACCATTGATCGGATTTGTCCACTTTTTTGTTCTTATCATTCAATCGAAGAATTTCTTTCCTTCTCGATGAAAGAGGGCAAAGGTGTGTGGGAGAAAGAATTCTATTGGGCCTCCCCCATTTTGTTTTGAATTGGTGTCCTCGAGAGGCGCATAAAAACCAACCAAAAAAGGGGCTGCACATGGGCACAACAAATTCAGTTGGGTAAGCTATTATGGAGTCTCAAGTATATAAGTGGGAAGAAATTAGGAGAAGGCCAGGAAGTAAGTGGAAATCTCTAGCAGGAGAGTTTGGACATCTCAAAAGTCCAACTATCCTTTGTTTTCTCTTTCATTTCCTTTAAGCATTCTGCATCTATTCTTGGTTGTATCCATTCAGTTTATTATCAAGGAAATGTTCTTCTTTATGATTATCATCATCATCATCATCATCATCATCATTTTGAGTTCCTTTGTATTGTGATATGGTGTTCAACTAGCGGGGAACTTATCATTTTGGTATCAAAGCAAATTCCTGAATATGATGTTGACCGATTGGGTAGGGGAATTGGAAAGTTATCACCGCAACCTGGAGGGGAGAATGGCCGCATTTCGGGCGGGCAAGATTCAACGAAGGCTGAGATGCAGAGGGTGCAAAACATAGAAAAGGACATGAGCTTGTTGATGGAGCAATTTAAATTTATCGTGGGCCATTGGGAGGAATGTGAGAAGGAACGGAAAGGAAAAGGGACAAAAGAGGCTCCTTCGACCGGGTTTACTATTAAATCCGGAGTTACGATGCCAACAGAAGAAGAAAACGAGGATGGAGGAGTAGGCTGGTGGAGACCAGAGTTTTGTAATCGAAGGTTGGAAGTTCCGAGTTTGAAGATGACCTGGGTCTTCAAAGCTGAACGATATTTTGGCCTCACCCATATATCTGAATAGGAGAAATTAGAAGTTGCAGCCATCTGCTTTGAAGGGAAGGTGCCGCAAGATTTATGTAATGTGATTTAACCGCAAGTGTATGGTGTTAAGTTTTGTAGTATATTGATGAAATAAAAGTGTCGAATCCACAGGGATTGATATTTGAATTCTACTGAGTACTATAATGATTTCGGCTTTTCACTTTATTTAGGCAATCAAGTTTTGAATGGATGATTTTATACTAAACTAAAATATATGAATTAAAGAGTGCAAGTAAGGTAAAGCAATTTCTAAAAACTCGATCAGATTATGAATGCTTAGGGAATGATTTCACCATATTCTCGATGATATTTTATAACCTTTATAGCTAATTCCATAAACTCTTTTCTGGATTTATAGGAAAGAATAAATTAATTCTATCCCCTCTCTCGAGTGCCAAATAGAATTTATTTCTATATTTTAATCCCATCATCTCTAATCTGAATTAAACATATAGAAATTATCAAGCATCTTGTTCTTTAAATGGAATTACCCTCAAAGATTCGCACTCTCTCTCAAAACTTACGAATTCTAGGTTATGTTATTCTTAGATCATGCCTAAATTTTCCTCTCTCGAGCACCAAATTTAAAGCATTGAATCACTCAATTGTTGATTAGGCAATTGAAAGCATTAAGCAAGAACAATATAAATAAATTCCAGAAAAATCAAAGGAAATAATTGTATTGGAATCAAAACAGGTCTCAAATAGCTTACGTCAAGCCCTAGATCTTAAAGTTTAGTTCATAATTGAATTGATTGATATGATAAAATACACAATAAAGAACATGGAGAAGAAGTAGGGAATAAGAGAAAAATTAGTTGAGTTGCGTGAATTCTTCTCCCAATTGTTGTCAATCTTCTTGCAATTACTTTTTTTTTTCCTCTTGAGTTCTTTAAGTGCAATCCTCCCTTGAGCCATCCAGAAGAAGAAGCCGCGTCTATTCGTCCCCCAGGTTAAGTAGCATGATGGATTTTCTTTCCATAAGAGTTTGTATCAAAACAGGAATTTGCCCGATTTTTATCCAAAAAATGCCCCCATGTTCGGTATACTGCCTTGCGCGCGTGCCACCTATCACTTCTACGCTCTACATATGAAATTCTAGCCTGTGCGTGAGCGAGAGTATTGACCTGCGCACACGTGCCACTATGAAATCTTTCATGGGTCGCACTTTGGTCCCTAGAGTTCGTTTTTCGTTCCTTTTGATTCATATTTGATATATTCTTGATCTTTCATCATCCAATACCATTTAATTGCATCTGACTCTTCTTCAATCATCAACATCAGGTCCGAATCAACTTTTGATACTTTGCAATTTAGTCCCCAAACTTTTGATTAAGCCCAAGTTAGCAAATTTATCGCTCTTCTGTCCAATTTCATTATTTTGCCTCGAGTTGCGTCTGACAAACGAAATATGTATAAAGTTAACATCAATTTATCCTAAATAATAATAATTGCTCTAGTTTAGTGGTTGAAATAAGTGTATAAAATACACTTATCAAATACCCCCAAATTTGAACAATTGTTTGTCCTCAAACAAAAGCCAAATCATTAACATCCACACAAACATAGCTAAAACACAAAAAATTACTTAAAAACAATTTTTTTTAGATATCTTACCTTCATAGCTCAAGACTGAGGTCATAACATCAACTCTATGAATTATTTCAAAGTTATAATGTACAAACTAAAATTCTTACATATTTAATGTAAAACAAGAGTGTCTGTGTATGGAGAGTAAGTGCAACGCTGTGTAAGAATAAATTGATCAAATTCCTAACCTTAAAAGTAACTATTTCCTTACTTCTCTCATGGGATTCACACACCCCCAAACTTATTTTCTTTTCTCTTTTCCATGGTGTAATCTAAGGTTAATCTTTAATACTAATTTTTTATACTGCTTAAGTTTGGTTAGATCTTACTAATTGTAGTTCCACATGTCAACAAATGAGGATTCTCCTTATTTTCGACAGCTTCTACCTCTAAGAATCAACCAAATTACTAACCTCTTGTCAAAAGGTCCAATACTCTAAAATAAGTGTTTGGGGGGCATAATCAAGGCATTTGATATCCAAATTTTTTTATCCTTTAATCACCCTTTGTATAAACGTCCCTCCCTTAAGCTTTCTATATGACCTCTGTAATGAGTTTTAGGCCAATGATTCTCAAATCAGATGTCTTTAGGGCATCAGGTTTTAAACTCTTACAGGCTTAATCACTCGAGTCATAAAGGCTACGAAGAGATGAGTCACAATGAGATTATTAAAGTTGTCCTATTTGGATCTTTATTTATTTATTATTTTTTTGCAATGATTAGTGAAATGTCCTTTATTAAACACCCATTCTTGAAAATCGACCTCTAACTTAAGGTTTTCACCCAATTTTCATCCTATTGGTCTCAGACAGTCCACGCAAAAATGGGCGCACATGGAATCCACATTTATCTCCAAGGTTTTCCACAACAGTGCAATCCTCCAAACATTCTAGATTTGGCTAAAGGGTATACTGATATTTAATGGTTGTTTGGGGTTGACAATCTAAGTTCTCTAATCCAACCTATAATGAATCCACCTAATCATGCACAACGCTACAATCAATTCATGTGCAAAATAATTTCCATTTCACAAGAATAAGTAAAAATTTGACTCACACACATAACTTATCCATAATTCATAAACCAATGCATGTTCTCCATATTATACATCATTGCTGGCAAGGCAATCTAACTCACACAAGAATGCAGAACACAATTTTTTTTAAACAATACACACAAGTCACACAAAATAAAAAAAAAAAAGGCAATTAGACAACTTATCATACACTCCCCCAAACTTAAACTGAACATTGTCCCCAATGTGAAATTAAAAGAGAGTGAGGACTTTCCTAAATTGTTTGAATTGGCAATGACGGTCTAGTGCTCTGATATTGAATTTGATGAAGGCTTCTTCTCGCCCCCCCCCGCCCCCGAACTTGATAATTATCCAGCTTCTCGTTGTTAATGTTGGTTTGATTTTTTCGTAACGTCATGTTCCTAAAAATTCAAAATGTAGATATTAAACTCATAGAACAAGCGTTACTTAGCTCGAACACCAATAAACAACTTGATTATTCAAAGACCTAAGGGATAGGGCCCATGAATTCCTAAATAAAAAAACTTTGAAATAAAATAAACTATCCTATAATTTAAAAAAAAAAAAATAAAATAAGTGAAAAGGTGAGAACGCTTAGGTTGCCTCCCAAGAAGAGCTTCTTTGTAGTCATTAGCTTGACTCAACCGCAATGCCTACTGTGGATCCTCATGTGGCACATTTCTCTTATTTTCGTACTTTACCCTTGGCTTTGTATTCTCCTTCATTGTAAGATGTCAAACAAAATTGGGCTTTTTTGACCCTAGTGTGGCCTTCAAAACCTCTTTTAGTTTGGTAATGTTTGGAGGTTTCAAAGTCATATCCACATAGCTCTCTTTTTTGTCAGGTAGTTTAGCTTCTTGAGCTAAGATGAAATCCACTGCCTTCTTGGTTCCTAAGTCATTACCATCAGTAGATGCATCCCTTGCTGAGTAATTGATTATCATGTATTGCACTAACGGATCATAAAATAAATTTTCTTTTCCTCTGTTTTTTGCAATTACTTCAGCTGATTGGGTCATTTTGCACGTGTCAACTTTTCCATTTTCTGGGGCTGTCTTTTCTTGATGGATGTTGAAAGTTACTTGCTCTTCATTAACCCATAGTGTCAACTTTCCTTATTGCACATTAAGCAATGCTCTTCTAGTAGCCAAGAAAGGTCGACCAAGAATCAATGGTAGTTTATCATCCTCCTCCATGTCCAATGCCACAAAGTCCATTGAAAATATAAACTTATCAAACTTCACCAACACATCTTCAATAATGCCCTTGGGATATGCGATCAATCTGTTCACCAATTGTGAGGTGAGGGTTGTGAATTTTATTTCACTAAGACCCTGCTTTTTGAACACTGATAAGGGCATCAAGTTTATGCTAGCTCCAAGGTCACATAGTGCCCTATCAAATGTGATACCACCAATATTACACGGGATGTTGAAACTGCCCGGATCTTTCAATTTGTGATGGAGCTTCTTTTGAAGTATGACACTATACTCCGCTATCAGCTTTACAGTCTTGAACTCCTCAAACTTTCTCTTGTTTGACATCACTTCCTTTAAGAACTTGGCATAGTTAGGTATTTGGGCTAAGGCTTCTGCAAAGAGAATATTGATGTAGATTTTCTTAAAGATCTCCAGAAACTTTACGTATTTCTCATCAAACTCTTTCTTCAAATGCCTCTCTGGGAATGGTAGTGGGGGCTTCGAGATAGGTGGGTTGTCCAGAAATGAAATTGAGTAAGGTTTATAAATTTTTTTGTTGCCTCTGCCTTAGATTTCTGCCCTTCAGTTTGCTTTTCCTCTGCAAGTATGAGATCCGATGTAGTCATCACAACTTCTCTAAGCTTGTTTTCTTAAACTTCTTTACCATTCCTTAGGATGATAGCATTGCAGTACTCCTTTGGATTAACTTCTGTGTCACTAGGGAATTTTTCTTTCTATTGGGACTGTATTGTAGTTGCCATTTGACCACTCTGTATCTATAATCCTTCACTGTGGCCCCCATGTTGGCCATGTGAGTCTTAATGTTGTCAAGTCTTGCCTCATCTTTGTTGAACCTTGATCTGGTCTCCGAAATGAAGGTTCCTAAAATATCTTCCAATGATGGCTTTCGTTCAGACGCCTGATTATTGAACCCCGGATAGTAGTTGTTTTCTGAGTAGTTTCCTCTTTGATTGAAGTTCTGATCATTTACATACTGAAGTTGTTCATTCTTCCCTTCAGCTTTTTGGTATACAGTGGATGTAGCCATAATAGATTTTGATTTCTTTTTCGATCCATGTGAAATCAATGCAGCTATTTGATTAGCGAGAGATGACATTTGAGCTGCAAGGGCGGTAATGTGATCCACCTCATAAAGGTCAGCAACTTTCTTTGCACTTAAACGCTCACTCGGCCATTGATAGTTGTTAGTAGCTATCTCATCCACTAATGCATAAGCCTCATTTGTAGTCTTGGACAATAATGCACCTCCTGCTACAGAATCTATCACTATCTTTGTCTGATCATTCAAACCATTGTAGAATGTTTGTATCTGCAGCCAATCCGGGTAACCATGTTGAGGATATATTTTGAATAGATCTTTATATCTCTTCCATTGCGCTACCTTTGAAGGTGGAAAGAATTTTGTAAGAAACTTCTACGCTAACCCCTCCCAAGTTGTGATGGACCCATACGGTAATGATTGGAACCATGCTTTGGCTTTGTCTCTTAGGGAAAGGGAAAATAGACGGAGTCGAATTGTATATTTAGTAAAGCCATTCATTTTCACCATATCACAAATCTCCAGAAAAGAACCTAGGTGAGCATTTGGGTCCTCTGTTGAACCTACTTCAATTTGATTATGCTGTACCATATGTAAAAGTCTTGGCTTCACCTCGAAATTGTTTGCAGCAATAGCTGGGTGTGCGATGCTAGAGTAATTGTCATTGACAATAGGTCTGACGTAGTCATGAATAGCTCTTTGTTGATTGTCTTCATTAGCTGCTCTTGCCTCCTGTTCTGCGATAATTTCACGTTTGCCTCTCTGTATACCCTCAGAAAATGAAATGTACGTTCTGGTTCAGGATCAACAGGTAGTAAGTCAAAATTTCTCGCCCTTTGCATAAACAGCTGAAGATAAGAACAATGAAGCTATTCAAAATAACTCAAGACAAATAAAATAAAAAATAAAAATTAAAGTTAAGATAGAAATCCAAATTAAAATGAAAGCCAATTGGTAATAATGTCAATCAAAATCAAATGAATCAATCCTCGGCAACGGTGCCAAAAACTTGCCGAGCAATTTATGTAATGTGATTTAACCGCAAGTGTACGATGTCAAGTTTTGTAGTATATTGTTGAAATAAAAAGTGTCGAACCCACAGGGATTGATATTTGAATCCTACTGAGTATTATAACAATTTCGGCTTTTCACTTTATTTAGACAATCAATTTTTGAATGGACGATTTTATACTAAACTAAAATATATGAACTAAAGAGCGCAAGTAAGGTAAAGCAATTTCTAAAAACTCGATCAGATTATGAATGCCTACACCGTATTCTCGATGATGTTTTTCAACCTCTATAGCTAATTCCAACAACTCTTTTCTAGATTTATAGGCAAGAACCCTAAATTAATTTTATCCCCTCTCTCGAGTGCCAAATAGAATTTATTTCTATATTTTAATCCCAAAATCTCTATTCAGAATTAAACATATAGAAATTATCAAGCATCTTGTTCTTTAAATGGAATTACCCTCAAAGATTCACACTCTCTCAAAACCTACGAATTCTAGGTGATGTTATTCTTAGATCATGCCTAAATTTCCCTCTCTCGAGCACCAAATTTAAAGCGTTGAATCAATCAATCGTTGATTAGTCAATTGAAAGTATTAAGCAAGAACAATATAAATAAATTCCTGAAAATCAAAGGAAATAACTGTATTGAAATCAAAACATGTCTCAAATAGGTTACGTCAAGCCCTAGATCTCAAAGTTTAATTCATAATTGAATTGACTTACATGATAAGATACAAAATAAAGAACATGGAGAAGTAGGGAATAAGAGAAAAAGCTAGTGGTGTTGCATGAATTCTTCCCCCAATTGCGTCAATCTTTTTGCAATTTTTTTTCTTTTGCCTCTTGAGTTCTTTAAGTGTAGTCCTCCATTGAGCCATCTAGAAGAAGAAGTCGCGTTCTATTCGTCCCTCTAGGTTAAGTAGCATGATGGATTTTCTTTCCATAAGAGTTTGTGTCAAAAAAGGAATCTGCTCGATTTTTCTCCGAAAAATGCCCGTTTGCGGCGCATATCACTTCTACGTTCTACATATGAAATTCAAGCCCGTGCGCACGCGGTACTTTTCACTTCTACGTTCTACATATAAAATTCAAGCTCGTGTGCGCGCGTGCGAGAATATTGGCCTATGCGCACGTGCCACTATGAAATCTTTCATGTGTTGCACTTTGGTCCCTAGAGTTCATTATTCGTTCCTTTTGGTTCATATTTGATATCTTCTTGATCTTTCATCCACCAATACCATTTAATTGCCTCTAACTCTTCTTCAATCATCAACATCAGGTCCAAATAAACTTTTGGTACTTTGCAATTAGGCTTCAAATTTTGATTAAGCCCAAGTTAGCAAATTTCTCGCTATTCTGTCCAATTTCATTGTTTTACCTCGAGTTGCACCTAAAAAATAAAATATGTATAAAATTAAGCATTAATTTATCATAAATAATAATAATTGCTCTAGTTTAGTGACTGAAATAAGTGTATAAAATACACTTATCAGAAGGCCCTATCTTGGTACTAGTAGCAACAAAGGAGGAACATGATGCAGAGTTGGGAAGAATTAAAAGGGTTGGTATTAAATTGGTTCCGCTCAGTCCATGGAGATACTGATGAAGAGAAATTCCTAACTCTCCGGCAGGAAGGCTCAGTGAGAGAATATCGCTAGTGGTTCTAGTTGTTGGCTACTCCATTACTAGAGATCTTAGAAGCGTTGTTGGAAGGACATTTCACCAACGGCCTGAAACCGGAGATCAGGGCTGAATTAAGGGTGTTAAAGTCCAGGAGCTTAAAAAAAAATTATGGAGGCGGCCCAACAAATTGAGGATAAAATCAATATGGGCTAACATCATTGGGCTAGGATGAGTCCAGGAAGAAGTAAAGTTGCTAGTCCTATAACCCAACCTTCTTTTTCAAACCAACCTAGTAGATACTGTTTATAGCCTTCGAGATCTTCCCAAAGTTTATCCTCAAATCACTCGACCCAGAACTACCATCGTCTGTCATCGACGATGGTGGTGTAGATGGCCGCATCCGTAAAAGCCACTGGTTTGACCTACAAGAGGTTAAGTGAGGCAAAATTCTAGGGGAAAAAAGAGAAGGGGCTTTGTTTTAAGTACGATGAACAGTATTCTATTGGACATAGGTGCTAGAACAAGGAATTGTAGGTTATGGTACTGCTGGGCGAGGAAGTACATGAAGAGATAGAAGAGGCTGATAAAGAGTTTCAAGAGTCCGAGGTGAATGAAGTGGGTGAAGCAGTGAAACTCTCAATTAATTCGGTGGTAGGGTTGACGTCTCTTCAAACAATGAAGGTTAAGGGTCTAATTGGAACATAAGAAGTGGTGGTGCTGATATCTTGTGGAGCTACTCATAACTTCATCTCGGTGAAGCTGGTTCAGAGACTGGGATTACCTAGGATTGAAACAACCTGGTATAGAGTGATAATGGGAATAGGATTCACGGTGCAAAGGGCGGGTATCTGTAAGGGGGTTAATCTGGCTCTGCAGAATTTGGAAATAACTGAGGATTTCCTACCCTTGAACTTGGAAGTTCAGATGTCATCCTAGGCATAAAGTAGTTGTCATCACTTGGAAAAATGTTGATGGATTGGAAATCGTTAACGATGCATTTCCAGATAGGGGACACTAATGTTATGCTACAGGGGGCCCCTAGCCTTAGTAAGTTACTAGTGAGTCTGAAGTCTATGATGAAGGCTTTCCGGGAAGGGGGAGAAGAGATTTTATTAGAGTTGGAAAATCTGTCCATCGAAGCAGACACTCCAAGGCCAGAAGTACCAAAAGAGTTGGACCAAGTGTTGATAGAATTTGAAGGCATTTTTTAGGAGCCAGGTAGGTTACCACCCCATTGGGAGATGGACCACTCCTTCGTTCTTCAAGCAGAAACTGCCCCAATAGGTATTTGGCCATATCTTTATCTTTACAGTCAAAGAAATGAGATTGAGAAATTGGTTCGAAAGATGTTAGTGGGAGGTATAATTAGATCAAGCACAAGTCCATTCTCCAGCCCGATTTTACTAGTAAAAAAGAAAGACGGGGGCTAGGGTTTTTGTATAGATTACAGGGCATTGAATAAGGCGATGGTGACGGATAAATTTCCAATTTCGGTCATCAAAAAACTTTTAGACGAATTGTATGGAGCCTCAGTCTTTTAAAAATTGGACTTGAAGGCGGGGTATCATCAAATTAGGATATTTCCTTAAGATATTCCTAAAATGGCTTTTAGAACTTATGAAGGGCATTACGAGTTCTTGGTTATACCTTTCGGGTTGACCAATGCACCGGAGACTTTTCAAGTATTGATGAATGAAATATTCAAGGAAAGGTTGAGACAATCTATCCTAGCTTTTTTTGATGATATCTTAGTATATAGTCAGGATTTGGAACGGCACCATGGGCACTTGAGGTGGGTGCTGGAGGTACTTAAAAGGAATCAACTGCATTTGAATGGGAAGAAATGTGTATTTGGCCAATAGGAAGTAGAGTACTTGGGTCATGTCATATCATAGAAAGGCGTGACTACTGATAGGGCAAAGGTCAGGGCAATGGTAGAGTCGCCAAGTCTAGCTCCCTGCATGAGCTATGTAGGTTTCTTGAGTTGACAGGGTACTGCATGAGGTTTGTGAAGGACTATGGGAAAATTGCATGGCCGTTGGCTGAAAGATTAAAGAAGAACAACTGCCACTGGGATGAAGTGGCAGAGCGGGCTTTCCAGGAGTTAAAAGGGAGAATGATGTCCCTATCGATCCTTGGGTTGCCAAATTTTACAAAAATGTTTGTGGTTGAGACGGATGCTTCAGGATACGGGTTAGGGACAATGTTAATGCAAGAACACAAACCCATTGCTTTCTTCAGTCAAGCACTTAATCAGAAGGGCCGAGAAAAGTCAGTGTATGAAAGGGAAATAATGGCAATAGTCTTTAGAGTACAAAAATGGCGCCATTATTTGCTGGGTCATCACTTTATAATTCGGATAGATAAAAAAAATTTGAAATTTTTGTTGGAACAGAGGGTGGTCACTCCTGAATATCAGAGGTGGTTGATGAAGCTTATGGGGTATCAGTTTAAAATTCAGTACAAGCCGGGGCTTGAGAACAAAGCAGCTGATGCTCTCTCGTGTGTTAACCACCTGCCATCATTGATGGCCTATCTCTATCAGCAATTGTCTAGTTGGAGCAGCTGAATAGGAAAGTAGAGGTGGGCGATAGGTTACGAAAAATTGTGGCCAAATTAAGAACAGACCCTTCCTTGTGGCTGGCTATTCTGCGAAAGAAGGGCAGTTATTCTACAAAGGCAGGTTGGTTCTTCCCAAAGGATCAACCTTGATTCCATTGATAATGCAAGAAGGGCATGATGGTTGCTTGGGAGGGAGCACTTGGGATTCTTGATAACATATAAGAGGGTTGCTGTGAATGTTTATTGGGCTGGAATGAAGAAGGGCATTTGTCAATATGTCAAGGATTGCATTGTGTGCCAACAGAATAAGTACGTAGCCTTATCCCCAGGAGGGTTGTTATAGCGCCTAACAGTTCCTAATCAGGTGTGGGAGGACATAGCTATGGATTTTGTGGAAGGCTTGCCAAAGTCGAGTGGCTGGGATACCATTTTAGTGGTGGTGGATAGGCTAAGTAAGTATGCCCACTTTGTATCCTTGAAACACCCATTTTCAACGATCAAGGTGGCTCGGGTTTTCATGAAGGAGATTGTATGCCTCCATAGAATATTGCGTTCAATTATATCGGACTGGGATAAAAATTTTATGAGTGGATTTTGGGAAGAGTTGTTTAAACTACAAGGTACGAAACTTTTCCATAGCATCGTTTATCACCCGCAATCCGATGGACAATCTGAAGTAGTAAACCGCACACTGGAGACATATCTCCACTGTTTCACTTCCTCTAAGCCGAAATCTTGGGCATGCTGGCTTCCATGGGCCGAATAATGGTATAATACTTCCTATCACACTGCTTCCAAGTTGACACCATTCCAATGCTTGTATAGGACGGAACCCCCTTTATTATTAAGGTTTGGAAATGGATCTACTCCTTTCTTTGTGGTAGAAAGGCAGTTGCTGGAAAGGGATTAGATGCTGGAAGAGTTGAAACATCAATTAATGCGGGCTCAAGCTCACATAAAGCGAATAGCGGATGCGAAGAGAAGGGATATTCAGTTCAATGTAGGGGACTGGGTTTATATGAAGCTACATCCTCATTGAAGCAAGTCATTATCATTAAGGCCTAACAAGAAGTTGGCCCCAAAATTCTATGGGCCGTTCCAGTGGAGAAGAAAATTGGAGTCGTAGCTTACAAAGTGACACTTCCATCAACTTGTCACATTCATCCTATCTTTCATGCGTCACAATTACACACGGTGATGAATATCCCTAGCCACTTGAATGAAGAAATGGAGATGTTGGTAGAACCGAAAGCAGTGTTGCGAGTCCGATCAGGGAGAGGAAATAACATCAGGAGTCTTGAACTTTTGGTGCAATGGAAAGGGTTACCGTCCTTAGAAGCCACATGGGAACCATTTCAAATGTTGAGGAATCAGTTCCTAGACTTCCACCCTGAGGATAAGGTGAGTCTCATGGGGCGGAGTAATGATAAGCCATCGATTCAAATTTAGTATTCCCAGCGGGAGAAGAAGTCAGGGGTAGAAAAGGGAGACCAGAAGAAAAGGAATTCCATGCACATGGGCACAACAAATTCAGTTGGGTAAGCTGTTATGGAGTTTCAAGTATATAAGTGGGAAGAAATTGGGAGACGGCTAGGAAGAAAGTAGAAATCTATAGCAAGAGAGTTTGGACCTCTCGAAAGTCCAATTACCCTTTGTTTTCTCTTTCATTTCCTTTAAGCATTCTGCATTTATTCTTGATTGCATTCATTCAGTTTATTATCAAGAAAACGTTCTTTATTATTATCATCATCATTTTGAGTTCCTTTGTATTGTGATCTGGTGTTCAACTAGCAGGGAACTTATCAATTACACATGGTTATAATTATCAGACACTTGGCTCATACTGAGAGAACCTCTAATGGTAATTTAAATTAGATCTAAATTATGATTTAGATTTTCGAAGTGATTAAAAAAAAAAACTCTCTATTAATGAAGAGATGCAAAAAAATAAATAAATAAATTTGCAAAGGGCATTTTTTCTGCAGAATATGTAAAAAAAAAAAAAAAGGGTAAATTTACATCTTTTTACATCTCCCTGTAGGACTCTCAAGAGATAAAAACTACCAATCCACTTGCACTAAATTTTTTTAGATCTTCTTATTGGAACAGAATATGGTTTTAGATCCATTGTGATTTAAATGAGGATGTAAAAGTAATTTTGAAGATGTTAATTTGTACTCAATTTTACATTACCATTGAAGATTATCTAAGTCATTGGTCACATTGGCAGAGAGCTGGTTAAGAAAAACGTAGTGTGGTTCGAAATGTTGTTGACATCCTCTGAAATATTTAATTAATTTTAAAATGTTTTTTCTATTCACTTTAAATAGTTTCTGGTTAGTTACTTTAATAATGGTTTATTCTTCTTGTTTTGATGTCTATTTGATTACTAAGATATGTTATTTTAGTGAAAGACAAAGGAATTATTTGTCGACTTTACTCACAAGTGATATTGTGGTTTATCAAATGTCAATCTAAAAACAAATAACTAATTTTAGTTTCATAATTAATTTATTTTTATGATAAAGCAAAGTCAATCTCAGTGATATGAAAGTTCAGAGTGAAAAGGTCCATCATTTAAATCGAGATAAATATGAAATACACGTCTCTCTAACAAAATAGTTTGTCCATTAAAGTGATACGTGAGTTGTGATTAGAATGTCACAAGACAGTTAGATTTACATCCACATAAGCTCATATCTTTTGCACCTCATATCATCGAGTTTCTAGTTCAAATTTTAGGTATAACATGAGTACCGTCAACCAAACTCACTTCATGAACTACGTAAACTTTTCTCTTGGAGCCTTGTTAGTTCTATTCTCGCGCACACCTGCTCTTATAAGGCTAGCAGGGAGGGAGGTGTTTTTTTGGTTTACTTTGCCTCCTTAGGTTACATAGTTTGATCCAACCAACTCACATCCCTCTTGGATTCAATAACCTACATCCACGGGTAGGGAAATGCGGAGACATCAGATCAACACCGCCTCCAGTTTGATTTGCATCCCTATTATGTGATTTTTTCGAAGGTTCATTTTCAACCGGTCATTTACATGTATCACATAGACCAATTTGCAAACTAAGTCCTTGTTTCGAATCTAGTAGTACGAGTAAAACACATTGACATAGTCTTTAGAAGAACTAAACGCAATTATTTCGCGACAAGTATAGAATATTGTTAACATATTTCTAAACTACAGAAGTATTATTTTGACTCTTAAAAGCTGGACACACCCAACACTTATTTAAATATTATGGTAGCATAACAAAGTCATCTCAACAACATTCTTTAATTACAGTATCCCATACAAGTGGGAAAATTAAGTGTAAAACAAAATAATTTTAATAATAATAGTTAATGAGAGTTTTTCCTCCTATTCAATTCATCTCTCTCTACTAGTCAATCATCCATGCACCAATATCCCATATAATTAATTCATAATTTACACTAAGCATCGAAGAGTTCTTGTGCACCAATCAAAACCATGGATTGATCAACACTTACTTGAATTAACATCTTGAGAAATTCAATCAATCATGGGATTGATTTGATCATGATCAGTATTTTGCTGATGGTATTGAATCCCAATAGCCATCTCCTTGACCTTGATGCATAATAACCATTTGATTTGGATCGATCACCATATCCGAAACGCTCCACACCTTGACAGATTTATCGAGACTTCCACTATATATAACACATTTCCGATCGCCACTTGTTGATTCCTTGTCCTCCTCCACCGCGAGACACTTGACTGGTCCTGTGTGACCAGTCAATACCGAGAGACAAGTGTGCACGGACGCATCGCGTCGCCACACACAGATAGTTTTGTCGGCCGATCCACTGAACACAAGATTCCCTGCCACGGAGAGGCAGAGTACGGCCAATTTGTGGCCCTTGAGGACGCCACCGTGGACCAGCTTTTTCTCGCGCTCCCAAAAGTTCACAAGTCCATCGGATGACCCACAGTAGACGACCGAACCCGAGTTGCTATCTGCTAAAGCAGTAACAGCACATTCTTGACTCAGAAGAGTCTGCACCAGGGCATGCCTTATGACCTTACCTTTTTGTTCCCTTTTCCAGACTTTCACTGTCCCGTCGGCCGAGCCAGTGTACACCGTGCCTTCGACGCTCACCACCACTGAGTTTACGGCATCATCGTGGGCCTTAACAGATTCAATGCACTTAGAATTCCCAATTCTCCAAACCTTAAAAGTCCTATCCCATGAAGCAGAATACAGAAGCCCTTCTTCCTGATCGATGCTCAAGCAAGAAATAGCATCCACGTGTTTGATCCAAAGCGCAGTTCGGTTTCTCTTCACTTCGACATAGCTGCTTGGCCTAATGGAAGCTTTGAAAATGTCGAAGAAGGTAGGAAAAGTGCCCACACGTTTATGAACGCTTGGATTCTTGGGATTAGTCTTCCAAACTCGAACTTTTCCATCTTGATGTCCAGTGAAAATCTTGTCTCCCGATATAATAATTGCCTTAACAAGGCCGCTGTTGGATTTGAACGCTGCAAATTCTTTCATGTTCTTCCAAACACGAATATTTTTGCTATCAGAACCAGTATAAAGAATGTCATTCTTAGCAGCCAAAGAATAAATATGGCCTTCTTCGCGAACAAGGGAACCAATTAGGCCATTCTGAGGAATCTTCTGAGATGCGGTTTCGCTGAAATTCGACCAAGAAGATTTCATAAAAGGCGAAGAGGATTGATTCCATGGGGACATCATCATAGGAGAGCCTTCGCCGGAGAGGCGATTAGGGTCATAAACAGAGAAACTGCTGTTCCGGTTAGCGAAATCATCGTCGGCTGCTGCGCTTGAAGAGGACATGTTTTGATCAGAGAGAATCAATGTTACCAATTGTTAAAGTTAGACTATTGGTTTCTTCAGAATATCATTCCAATTCAATCACCGTATCAATCTGATGAGAATTAGGAGGAGAAAATAGAAGATTGAATTGGTGAAAAATGAACGGAATGGAGAGAAACCCTGAGAAGAAAGGTGTATAGAGAGATAGTGAAGGAGAGAGATAGTAGGGGATATAATAGAATTGAAGGCGGGAGAGGAGAGAGAGCATGTAAATAGGAGAGGGATGAGGGGTTTGTATAATGTATGTGTGAGGAGGAAGGGGGCGAGGGGGAGGGGGTGGTCAGGTGCAGGTGTGCCTAGTCCTTTTGTACAAAGTGATTTTGGGGTTCTCATATTTTGAGTCTAATTATTTTCTTTAGCTAAATTTAACGGCGTAAAATGAGTCCTCTCAAATTATGTCACTTGATTCAATATTATACGTATTGAGTTAGTCGAGGTACATTTATATCCTTCGTTGAATTTGTAGCAAAATGATACTTATTCGTAGAGTGCAAAGAGATTTTGGCGTTCTCAATTTTCATTTGTTCGTTGAGTTTGTTGAAAAATGGATAATTCCATGGTGTATATTATATATATACATTCCATTTTCATGACTAGTGTAGAACTTCACAATTTTGTGGGAGTCATGGAAATAGATTATTGTATATGTTCTATACTTTATGTTAACAACGATGTTATAAATAGTGACGCAACTTGAAAAACTGATTAGTTAATACGGAATTGATTAAACTAGCCACGCGTCGATGAATTTTCTTGAAGCCTTCTTTTAAAGAGAGAGAGAGAAAATATTTTCTTATCGAACAATTCAATCTCGACATATATGATTAATATCCATGATGTGGTTTTTATTTTCCTGAAAAATTAATAATATATTTCATTTTGGTAAGTTGGTGTCCCTACATTGTTTCACCTACTTTTATGTACCATACTCGAGTGAACGATATAGTCGAATTTTGGCATTACAATTTTGTGAGGCCACGGCCGCACACATGTACAAACTCGAATGATAGAACATGTAAAATGGTCTTGTCCTTGTCAAAGACATGATAATCCATCATTTTCATCTATCTTGTTATTTTCATGTGTAAAACTCAAAATTGTAATGACAAGTCACATAAGAACATATTTGATATAATATTCGTAAGTCGGTTGTTTATAAGTTTAACATGATTTATATTTGTCACTAAAGTATAATCGCTTCAGCATGACGAGATCGAAAAAAGTTTGTTGATGCATACAAGGTCCGTTTGAGCATGTTTGCCCATTACTCAATCTAATTCATTTTGTTGTTACCTCGTTCAATTATATTTCATCGATTAAAAAAAATGATAGTAGAAGGTCATTCAACTACGAAAGGAAAAAAGTTTTTAATAATAGTCAGTATGAGGCCCTATGTGGCCGCTAGATGGCTTTATGGTCAAGTCAACTCTGCAGACTCAAATGACTTAAACTCAAGC